GACTTTTCCACCTCATTTCCCCTTGAATTTGCCTTTTGTGGGGTGGAATTCTGAGTTTGTGCCTTGCTTAAATGTCTTCTCATTTTTGTTTTGGGTACTGTACTTGGTTTAATTCCTGGGTTGATACTTTGAAGTTGCTTATTGTATCTTTGTTGATGTATTTTGAATACTTATGGAATGATTGCTTCTCAGAGGTGTCTTCCAGATATAGCAGGTGTTTAGATTTTGAGTCTCTAATGGCTCTGGGGCTATTTCATTTTCATTATACCAGGAAAGTCAACTGATTAGATCAATCACAACACCTTAGCCCAAGTGATACAATTAGCAACACCATAGCATCAAGTACCTCTTAGAAAATGACAATTTGTGGTAGTTATTAATCTATCACCTTTAACTGTGTGAATTAAATCAAAATCAAGGACCAACCAAACATATGTTTATAGTGAATAAATTCTTCAATATAGCAACTTTACCCTTTGGGATGGGGAGTTAGAGGGAGTTGGAGAGGGAGGAATAGGTAGGTAGAAGGATAGGGGAAGGTTAGCAGTGAGGCCAGAGGACACATGTGAGAGAAGGAAAAAGAGAAGAAAAGAAAAATAAAGAAGAAATCTGAATTAGGGCCAGAACAGAAACAAAAAGGGAGATGAAGCACAATGTGGGATAGCAAGGGAGTGAGTGAGAGAGAGAGAAATAAGAGAAAAGAAAGAAAAAAGAGAAAAATAAAAAGTTGAAGAGCGTAGAAAAAGAAAAAAAATTAAACATAGAACAAAAAAAAATAGTAATAATTTTGAAAATAACAAATAAAATTAAAAATGAAGGGCTTCCTTCAGGGTATGTCTCTGCTGTCACAATAGACAATGTGGGCAGCAGTGTGCAGATATAAGTCAGTGAGTCTCAGTAAGACAGTCACAGACCCGTGAGATTCAGGCAGATTTCTGGCTGCAAGTCCCAAGTTGAGCTCCCTGTTCTCCTGCAGGGTTGAACTCTGTAAGGCTCTACTGCAGTTTCCAGCTGCCCTTCCCCTGAAGATAGTCCAGGTTCTGATGGGAGGTGATGATCCCTCCAATTTACCAAGCACGGTGGTCTGGTGTGCCCTTATTGCAGAGATTCTCTTCACTTTTCCAGTGGGCTTCAGTTTTCATCAGGGAGCCTGAGAGAGGCCCTCTATACGTTGTTCACGTTGGCAGCTCAGGACAATGGCCTTTATGACCCCTTGTGTCTCTGTAGTCTGGAACCAGGTAGCGGCACAGCCAGGAGGCCGGAGGTTGGGGGGGGCGGGGTTGCAGGTGCCCTGGGCGCGTCGAGGGGTCCTCACCATTTCACTGGTCGCAGGTAGGTGTGGTGAGCCGGAAGGAGTGGGGCTCCACCCGGCCAGGGACCTCTCAGCCCGCGCTGCTACGCGGGTGGCTGGTGGACGTGTCGAGTGGTCCTCACCCAAGGATACACTTTTAGAAGGCGCCTTTTAAAAAAATGTTTTTGAGACAGGGTCTCGCTATGTAGTTCAGGCTGTCTTTGATCTCACTCTGTAGCCCAGGCTGACCTTGAAATGGCAGTGATCCTCTTACTTCAGCCTCCCAAGTGCTGGGATTATAGGTGTGCGCCACCATGTCTGGCTAACAGGTGACATTGCTTCACCCCATTCCCATTGTAAAATATTTGGAAAATACTCAGAAAAGTAAAACAAAACAAAACAAAAACCATTCATCTCTCATCCAAGAAACTGCGTTTGAACATTGTGGCCCATTTTCTTCCACTATTTTGTGTGGAAATAGTGGCTTATTTTTTAGCATACATACTTTTGATCAAATAGTAGATATTTTTCTGTCTGGCTATTTTAACATTTATTATTATATAATAAAATTTACATGTTTCTAAAAGTCCTATTTACTGGCTGCATAATATTACATTCTATAAATATAATTCCCAGTTTATGTAACCTAACTTCTGTGGTTGGTAGTTTAAGTTGCCTCTAGTATTTTGTAATTGTAAACGACTCCTCCTTTTAGGATTCTCTTAGATTCTCATATTTAGCTAAAAATATGAAAAGTTTAAGGCTTATGAAAAAGTTTTTAACAGTAGTCTCTTGTTCCTAAGTGAAAATTATCTGGAAAATTTACAAAATTAGAGAAATTACCATATCTAAGCTGAGTTGTAGCTCAGTGACAGAGCAAATGCTTAAGGCCCTGGTTCAATCCCCGGTGTTGCCAAAAAGAAAAGAAAAGAGAGGCGAAAAGAAAAGAACTTACCACATCTGAGAAAATACACTCTCATTCCACCAAAAGCAATAATAATAATAATGATAATAATAATTTTGGGGGGTATTGGGGATCCAGCCTAGGACTTCATGCATTCTAAGGGGATACAACTCTACCGGTAAGCTGTATCTCCACTCTATTATTATTATTATTACTATTATTATTATTATTTTATTATCATCATAGCCAACTGTGTTGGCTGATTAGTAGGTTCTAGGTCAGGGTTGGGGAACCTTTTAGAGCTTTCAATGATAACAGCCCGCTGTGGTGCACATGCCATAGCTTCTCCACCACTGCACTGGAAGCTGAGCTGAATCTATGGTCCTCATTTTACACTGAAGAAAGCTTGGTTGATTTCACACAGCCTGGAGTCCAGTGAACTGGGGCTTTAGCTCCAGGTTTGTCTCGAGCCAAAGCCGGAAACGCTCCTAACCCAGGCAGGTTGTGTTGGGTGTGGTTTTTGAACCAACTGCATCAGTGTCATTTAAAAATGTGAACTCCCAGGTCCTGGGCAGGTCCGCGGAAGCCGAATTGCAGTGGAGCTAGAAATCTGCTTTCTTACCCGTTGCCGAGGTCGTTCTTTTATTTATTTACTCAAACCGTTCTTTTGTTTACATTTTGAAATGTATCATCTATGGAGAGTTTATAAAATATATGCACACAGTTCAAAGAGTAACAAAACAAATACCTGTGTACCCACTGCCTGGGTTGGGGGGACACAGTGAACGTTAGGGGGCGCTCCTGAGCCCGTCTGATTACTACCTCCACCCCCAAGAGAGGGACTGCCTAGCCTAAGGTTTGGCGTCTTTGCTTCCTTGCTTTTCTTCAGGTTTACATTCCTGAGAATATCCCTAAACAATATGGTTTTGTTTCAAAAGACTGAAGAGCAAGCCCAATCCTGGCTCTCTCTGGAAATAGCAATAAAGCCATTGTTATGTGACTGTTCCCCGGAAGGTGTAAGCCAATGTCTTTGGGACAGAGTCTGGATTCGACTTCCCAGATCAGCTCTCACCTGGGGAAGCCAGCGGGCCAGGTCCTGGGCGGATTGCCCATCCGTGAGGCACATCAGAGATGGGCTGAGGTTCCAACGACTGGCAAACCCCATCTCAGCTCTTTAGGACCTCCTTCAAGCGCTCAGATGACCGGTTAACCTGGATTCTTCTCAGGGAGAAATGACTGTTTTCAAGCTGATTCAGGGAATAGCGTGTGGGGTTGGGGGGTCAGAGAGCAGGGCCCTCACCAGCTCTTGGTTGTCAACCTCCACCAAATGTAGGTGTGAATCTGTACCAGGCTCACCAGGCATCTGGCCCAGACTGGCTCCTTTCACCGTCTCTGCCAGTGCTCTACCACTGAGCCTGTGGGTGCGTGCGTGTGTGCCCGGGTGTGTCCACAGTCCTGGGCACTGACCCAGGGTCTGCACGTGCTGCACAACTGCTCTATCTGTGAGCTGCATCCTCAGGCCCTCTTTCACTTCTCATACACATTTAAGGACGAGCACTGGAGCCTTGGCCACGTCTCTTGGTGTGCTGATAGCTCATTTCCCCTTAGTGCTGAATAATATTCTATGGTCAGTGCTACAGTTTATCCAGTCAGCTCTGGAAGGACATCTTGGTTGCCTCCAAGTTTTAGCGCTTGTGCAAAAGATGCTGTGAACACCCAGGCACAGAACCCCCACCCCCCGAGCAGTTTTTAATGTGGACATGTAAGTTTTCAACCCATCTGGGTAAATTCATTCTCTGTCCCTGTCTCTGTCTCTCTCTGTCTGTCTCTCTGTCTCTCTCTCTCTCTGAGATGGGTTCTTAATAAATTACCCAGGGAGGCCTTGAACTCAAGTCCTCCTGATTAAACCTTTGTTTAAGTGCTAGGATTAGAGGTGTATGCCACCAAGACTTGCTGATGTCTTCTCTTTTAAAAATATTTTGTTCTCTCTCTCTCTTTTAAATTTTATTTGTACATTTTATATATACATAATGATAACATTCATCATAGGGACTTTCTACCTGTACATAATATATCTTGCTTCTTTTTTTTCCAATCCCCTACCCACCCTTCAACCCCTCATCCACTCCTTATTTACTAAAGATTTGTTTCCATTTTTCTCTTTCTATTTCTCCTTTTTTTCTTGTCCCTTCTTTCCTCTCCCCTTCCCTCCTCCCTTGTTGCCCTTCTCATTTGAACATTTTCTTCCCATTTCTCAATATCTATTGTACATTTTTGTCCTTATTTATACTTTCAGTTTCTCACACCAGAGAAACAATGTGATATTTAAATGTGCATCTGATTTATTTCACTTAAAAGTATGGTCTCTTTTCTTTTTCTTTTTTTTTGGTACCAGGGATTGAACTTGGGACCTTGCACTTGTGAGGCAGGTGGCAGAACCACTGAGCTAAATCCCCGGCCCCTGAAAGTATGGTCTCAAGGTGGATCCATTTAGCTAGAAATGTCTCAAGCTTATAACCTTCTTTATGGCTATTGGGTTACTTTTTCTGCATCTATTGAGAGGATCATATAGTTTTTGTGCTTTGCTCTGTTAATGTGGTATATTACATTTATTGATTTGCATATTTTGAACCATCCCTGCACTCCTGGGATGAATCTCACTTGGTCATGGTGTATAATCTACTTAATGATTTGCTGAATTCTGTTTGCCAGTATCTTTTTTTTTTTTTGGTTTAAGGGCACTTTATTATTGTTCTTAAGGCTACTTTTAAGTACAAAAAAAGATGGCCTGCCAAACCGTTTTTTCTTCTTCTTCCAGGAAAAACAGGCCACAGAGAATGGTATCTTACAGATTTACACATAGCAGAGGAGTCAGAACGCGCCGCGGATGGCCCGGCTCTGGGAGACAGCCTATCCCAGATAGGTCGGCGCGGGGACCCGGCCACCAGCACCTCCGTCCCCGCGAGGCCGAGGGAGGGTCCGCGGCGGCAGCAGCTCCAGCCCGCGCTCAGTAGCCTGTAGCAGTAACAAACGTGTGGCTCTGAATGCGGATGGCGGTCTCAGAGTACCTGTGTTCCTGCACGTTTACGGACACATCCACGACCCAAAAAAGATCAACTTTTTTTCCAAACAACAAAAAAATGAATGATTACGATAGGAAAGGGAAAAATTAAATAGCTACATATCATTAACAAATTAATTGTTCTTCAAAAAATACCCACAAATTTCTCTGTACATTCTTTACGCACAGCGTAATGACGGTCTTAAAGTTACCTATATAAAAAAAGTGTTCTCAACGGTTTTTTTCCTACAGAAAATATAGGGGCCTGAATGCCAAAGCTTGGAAGCCCAGTACAGTGGGAGTGACTGGGAGGCTGGAGAGGGGCTTCCTTTCACTCCGTGAGGGCCGGCAGCCTGACCAGCAGGACCAGAGCCAGGCAACCCTGCACCCACACCCCAGACGCAACAGTGGGCCTGGCGTTGTCCCTCTGTGGGAGAAGCCCCTAACGCCTCACAGTTGGGCTGGCCACCCCGTGTCACCCGAGCAGGTGACATCCCAAGCCCCCTAGGGGGCCAGGCTGGCTGCAGACCCTGGGGGCGAGGACAGAAACGCTCACTGACCACGAGGAGCAGCAGCTGTGAGACACCCACAGCCCTGTCTGTCTTGGGTGCTGCTAATGTCTAGTTAGTAGCTGTGGCTATGGCAGATGATAAATGCAGTCGTAACTGAAGTCAGGAATGTACACGGCCTTGGCCCCACGCACCAGGAAGCGCACACAACGCCATGGCGCAGATTGTCAGCTATCTGTGGTCAGCCGAGGGAGCAGCCTGCGCCCAGGGAGCTGGGAGACACCGTCCGGCTCCCTGGGGTGTGTCGCCAGGCAGCGGGGATGCGCAGAGGAGGTGGCGCTGGCCACTGCCCACCGCCTGACAGCTGCGGCCACCCGCGCTCCTTGTGAGTCGAGTATCAAATACAGATCTTGGAGTACAACTGTACCAGCAGTAAGTAGATCTAGGACTAGGACTGACAAAATAAACTAGTCCCGAAAAGAAGCCATAAGTACTCAGGTTTGCTCACTGTCTGTACAATTAATAGAAACCAGCTATTTTTTTCTCCATTAAAACATGTGTCCTCTTTAAAGCACTACGGAGTCCTTGACCTCAGTCTGCCCGACAGCTGCAGTGATCTCAGAGGGTGAATGCCCATGCGGTGGCGCCTGTGATCAGGTGCAGCCCCGACTCTAGAGAAGACTGCAGCCTGTGTGCCACCCCCAAGCTCCTCTAACTTCACCACACCCCACCACAGAGGGTCAGGAGCGGCCGCCCTGCAGTCCCAAGTTTGCCAGTTTCTTAATGAGGATTTTTGCATCTATGTTCATTAGAGAGATTGGCCTGTAGTTCTCTTTTTTGGTTGGATCCTTCTCTGGTTTTGGTATCATGGTAATGTTTGCTTCCAGGAATGAATTTGGGAGTCTTGCTTCCCTTTCAATTTCATTAAAGAGTTTGAGGAGTAGTGGCATTAGTTCTTCTCTAAATTTCTTGTAGGATTCAGCATTGAATCCATCAGGGCCCAGGCTTTTCCTTTGTTGGCAGGTTTTTAAGTACATCTTCAGTTTCATTGACTGACATTGGTTTAACTAGAATTTTTATATCTTCTTGATTCAGGTATGGTAATTCATGTGTACCCAGGAATCTGTCCATTTATTCTGTGTTTTCCATCTTAATAGAATATGGAGTTTTTTGGTTTTTTTGGTACCAGGTATTGAACTTGGGACCTTATGCTTGCAAGGCAGGTGACACCACCACTGAGCTAAATCCCTGGCCCTAGAATATATATTCTTGAAGTAGGTATTGATGCTCTTCTGAATTTCTTCAGGATCTGTTTTGATTTCACCCTTTTCATTCCTAATTGCATGGATTGGAGTCTTTTCTTTCCTTTTTTTGGATAAGAATGGCTAAGGGTTTATCAATTTTATTTAATCTTTCAAAGAACCAACTCTTTTTTTTGTTTGTTTTTATTGGTATCAGGGATTGAACTTGGGACCTTGTGCTTGCGAGGTAGGTGGTGGAACCACTGAGCTAAATCCCTGGCCCAGCTAAATCCCCAGCCCCTAACTCTTTATTTCATTGATTCTTTGTATTGTTTTCTTAGTCTTAACTGCATTAACTTCTGCTCTGCTCTTTATAATTTCTTCCCTCGTCTGAGCTTTGAGCTTGACTTACTCTTCTTTTTCTAGAAGCTTGAGGTTCATCATTAGGTTGTTTATTTGAACTTACTCTGTTTTTCCCATATGGAAATTCACCACTATAAATTTCCCTGGTAGGATTACTTTCATTGCATCCCGAAAGTTCTAGTATGTTGTACTAGCATTATTAATTGTAGAAACTGTGTGATTTCTTCTTCAGTTTCATCTGTGACCCATTTAGGAGGGTGTTATTTAATTTCCATGTGTTTATGAAATTCTTGTGGTTTCTTTTGCTATTGATTTCCAGTTTCATTGCACTATGGTCTGATAATATGCATATGATAATTTCAATTCATTCACATTTACTGAAGCATGTTCTATGAGCTAGAGTATGGTCTACTTTGGAGAATGTGCCATGTGCAGCTGAGAAGAATGCATATTCTGATGTTATGGGATGGAACATTCTGTAGACATCTACTAAGTCCATTTGTTGAAATGTTTGGTTTAGTTCTGATATTTCTCTGTTGATTTTTTGTCTAATTGATCCGCTATTTGTGACAGTGGAGTATTGAGGCCCCTCATTACAATTATATTAGTGTTTATTTGATTTTTTTTATGTCCATTAATATTTGTTTTATATAGTTGGGTGCACCAGTATTTGGTTCATATATCTTTATGATTGTTATCTTTTCCCCTTGGATTGTTCCCTTTACAAGAAGTGGTGACCTTCTTTTTCTCTCTTAATCAGTCTTGGCTTGAAATCCACTTTGTCTGCAAATAGAATAGCTATCCCAACTTTTTTCTGGGTTCCTGTCACATGGAGTATTGTTTTCTATCCTTTGACTTTCAGCCTGTGAGTTTCTTTTTAAATTAAAATGTGTTTCTTGTATGCAGCATATTGTTGGGTCTTGATTCTTGATCCATTCTGCCAGTCTGTTTCTTTTGATTGGTGAGTTGAGACCATTAACATTGATGGTTATAACTGATATGTATTGACTTATCCTTGTCATTTTATTTTCCTGTTGTTGGTTCCCTCCCCCCTGCTCCGTTTAATTACTTGTCTTGCTTGGTGGATTCATTTTGTTGCAGTTCATGGAGTTGTAGTCCTTGTTATTTCTTTGTAGGATGTCCTTTAGAAATTCTGTACTGCTGGTTTGGTGGTCATGAATTTCCTCAGGTGTTCTTTCTCATGGAAGTATCTTATTTCTCCATCAATTTTGAAGACAGTTTTGTAGGGTAGATCAGTCTGGATTGGAGGTTGTTTTCTTTTAGGGTTTGAAATACTTTACTCCAAGCTCTCTTTGACTTGAGGGTTTGTGTTGAGAAGTCTGATGTGATTCTGATGGGGTTTCCTTTATAGGTGATTTGTTTCTTCTCTCTAACAGCTTTTGTCTTCTATTCTTGTGTTGAATTTCTGGAATCTTGACTATTATATGCCTTGGTGAAGACTGTTTTTTTGATTATGGCTAATTGGAGTTGTATATGCCTCACTTATCTGTATGTCAAATTCTTTTTCTATGCTTGGGAAGTTTTCTGCCATTACTTCTGTGAACAGATTTTTTAAATGTCATTTGAGCTATCTCTTGCTTTTTCATCAACTTGATCAATCTTATATTATTCCTCTTTGTATCATCTAGCAACTGGTGGATTGATTTTTTCATGGTCCCTTGCTGTTTTAAAGAAATTTTTCTTTTCATGATCACTAATTACAATCCTCACATTGGCTCATTCTACAGAGTACACTTTCAATGGACCTTTTTTTTGAGACATGGTCTCACTATGTAGTTCAGTCTGGCCTTGATTCCACTCTGTAGCCCATGCTGGCCTCAAACTTGCAGCAATCCTTCTGCCTCAGCCTCCTGAGTGCTGGGATTATAGGCATGCACCACCATGCTTGGCTTTTATTAAACTTTTAATTTCCTGGATATCTGTTTGAACCTGTTTCTTGGAGACCATTTCTTCCCTATGTTGGACATTCATGGTTTCCATCATTTCCCTAAGTTCCTCTATTTAAAAAAAATTTTTTTTTGGTACCAGGGATCGAACTCAGTCCTTTCATTGTGAGGCAGGCAGTGGAACCACTGAGCTAAATTCCTGGCCCTATTTTTAAAATCTATATCTGCTGTAGAGTCACTAATCAAGTCTTATGGTCACCATCTCTGTTGTTACCTGATAAAATATTTCTGCTTTGAATTTTTTTTTGTATTGGGGGTCAAACTCAGGACCTTGTGCTTGCAAGGCAGGCAGCGGCACCACTGAGCTAAATTCCCAGCCCCTGCTTTGAATTGTTTTAGAGCCCCATTCATTTGCTTTGTTGCTTCTGTTACTTCCACTGTTACCACTTCAGAGAGTCCAGGAGTGTGGGTTTCAAATTGTTCCAATTCATTGTTCCCTGGGTTTGCCTTTGGTGTGCTGAAAGTCTGGGGTGTGTCTCCTGTTGGCTTTAACTTGGCTCCTTGCCAGCCTGAACTGGGATCCTTGAACTTCTGCTGACTTGAACTTTGTTCTGCCTCACCCTGATGGAGCCAGCCTGCAGCTGCTCTGAGTTCTGAGCTCAACTGGCCTCTCTCCAAGATGGTGACCAGCCAATTGCCCTCTCCGGGGGGACATCTGAACCCCAAAAATTCACTAGCCACAGCAGTCTGTTGTATCCATTGCTCTGTTCCACTGGTTCATCTCTCTGTGGAGGCCTCTGGGGTCACCAATAGTCACTGTGCATCTGCAGGTTCCAGCTGCCTCTCCCACACAGTGAGTCAGGGCTCAGGAAGAGAGTGTGCCACTTACCACCTTTCTTCTTTGTTGAAGTCTCTCATCACTCTCCTTGTGGACTTCAGTTCTCGCTTCAGATCCTTGCTGGGTTCCAAGGACCCACTTCCCTCCTCCTTCTCTTCCTCATGATGACACCAAAGCTTAGAGAGCTTCTTTCTCTGCTCTTTACCACTCCACCATCTTTTGTTCTCTCTTATTTTTAAAAATCTCAAGATACTTATTTAGTTTTATCCTTAAATCTTTTTATTATGTTTTGAATTCCTGTTCCTTCCTCCTTCCCTCCCTCTCTCTCTTCCTCCCTTCCTTCTAATGATGCAGATCAAATCCATGGTTTCATATGTGCTAGGCAAAGGAAAATGTTCTACAACTAAGCCACATTTCCAGCCCTGCTGTTGTATTTTTTTCACACCCATGGTTTTTTTTTGGTACCGGGGATCAAACTCAGGTCCTTGCACTTGCGAGGCAGGCGGTGGAACCACTGAGCTAAATCCCCAGCCCTGCTGTTGTATTTTTTTGAAAAATTACTAAGAATCCATCTTTCTTTCTTTCTTTTCTTCTTTCTTTCATTCGATCAGGCCTGAGTTGCCCAGGCTGCACTTGAATTTGGGATCCTCTTGTTTCAGCCTCTCAAGTAGCTGGGATTATAGGCATGCACCATTCTGTCCAGCTCAGAATTTTCTTTTCTTTCCTTTTCTCTCTCCTCTCTCCTCTCTTCTTTTCTTTTCTTAGTACTAAGGATTCTACCCAGGGCCTTGACACCGAGCTATGCTCCCAGCCTATTTTTTATTTTTTTCTGAGACAGACTCTTGCTAAATTGCCCAAGCTGAGCTTGAACTTGGTA